GAGACAGGGAGGCAAAAACAAGAGAAATGCAACATATTCTAATACAAAAAGAAATGGTAATATAATATAATATAATATAATATAATATAATATAATAGAATAGAATAGAATAGAATAGAATAGAATATAGAATATGTGAGTGGAAACAGATGGCAATCTTTACACAAGGTAATTATTTGAGTCGGTACGGCTGATTGTTCTCATTACTAACAGCAGATGAATGCTGACTGCTGATTGGTTAAGTGACTGAAATGGATTGATTTGACCTCACCGTTAGGCATCCCATCAGGCTTTGCTCAAAGGGCCGCTGAAACGCTCGTGGATCTCCACACCAGTCCAACAGCTCCGTCGCCGCCGTCTGGAAGTTTGCTGGATTTTGCAGGTGCTGAGAAAAGAAAATCACACGCAAACATAAACATAAAGTTCATATGATGAACCACTTCATTTATACTCTCATGATGTATTTAGTTTATGTGAGTTTATGGATTTGAGGGGGCGTCACAGCTTATAAATCCATTAAAACACTCAGAAGACAGTGGCAACATTATTTAACTGGCGACTGGTTGTCTGGGGTCTGTAGAGATGTTTCTCTCACCTGTTTGATGCAGTGGAGGCGGTCGTTGGTTTGCTGGATGTGTCTGTCCATAGACAGGAGAGAATTCATCCTGCAGGACCGTCTCTGACCCTATCGCCCGGCCATCCAACACTCAGACCCTATAAAACACACAGCATTTAGACACACTGCCAGATTCAGTGATCAGATGCACTATTTTCACCTGCTGGACCATAAAACAGAAATTGCTTAGACACACAGAAATCAGAAGATCACAGAGACACTTTTCATGCCAGACAGGAAGAAAGCACCTAGCAACCAACTAGGTCAGCCTAAGCTACCACCTCACAACAACCACAATTTCTTGAAATATTTGTATAAAAAATAGTGATGCACTGAAATGATTTTTTACTGAAACACCGAAACCAAAACAAAAGATTTCATTTAGACAAAAACCCAAATTGAAAACAAATATTTTTTAATAATCAATTAATTCATTAAATGTATTTACTAATCAACACTCAAATAAAAACTGAGTGGTATACAAACATTTAAATTGCATATAACAACATTTAAACGGTGGCTGTAATAAAAACTTGTTTACATGACAGATTTATTCACACATACATTAAACAATGAAGACAACAGGTCAAGTAAAATCAGTAATTACAGTTAACTAAAATTACAGCCATAAAAATTGTTACTTGAAATAAACGTTAATGGAAATTA